TGATGGGTTGAACTGCACAAAACGCATGATCGCACCGGCTAGTCTGGTGCGCGTTGCCATTTATTTGTATTTCATCTGTACGAACGAGAGCGAGCACTTGAAAGTAGCTCGAATAATAACGCTTTGCCAACAGCAACCAATGGATAATCATCTGATCTCCAAAAATCACTTAAGAATGTTGTGAGAAATCCTCGCAGTGCTGGCTTCCTGTTTTTATAATCCTGAATATCTGGCGCATACCCTCACTAATTAAAGAACAAAAAAAAAAAATAAAGAATAAATTAGAGATATGTACATAATAAATAAAAGTAGTCTGTTTTATAAAAAACTGTAAAATTTTGAAATGGAGAAATCCATGAGAAGTATGGATTTTTTATTCGCAAGGGGTTTTGAAAAAAAGCGTTTGCACTGCATCGTGGATGTCACAGTACGCTATTATGTGCTGCTCACTTACAAGACTTTCTTAGTGTTGCGAGTACGCAAATCGCTGAGTAAAAAATGACCACGCAGGTAAACCGTAAGACAATGGTACATTGTTAAGGCTACGCAGCATTTTTGAGTCTGCTGAAATCAGAACATTACTGAGGCGTAGCTACTCGCAGGACCTGACCACAGTGACCATCTCTTTTAATAAATATTGTAATCCCGGTCAGCGTCCACATCCTTTGGAGATCAGCAGTGGATATCTCATGCATCTCTTTGTCCCGATGCAGCGGGAGAAAAGTTGCGAATCTTCTTGCTACTTTCTCTGGCAGCTTGCTTTATCAGATTTAAACTCTTTCGTTATAGGAATAACGCCACGGGCAAACATTTCGTTCCCGTCTTTTCGTGGCGAGCAAAAAGATATGCTACTGATAAGAAGCGTATTAATAATCATAAAGCGCTCCCACAAAAGCAAATCAAAAATTTATCTTTTCAAAGGGCTTACGCTGTACAGTTTTGTGCACACTTCCGAAATTAAGAAGACAGAAAATCACTGTTTTTCAATTCACTGGGCACACTTCTTGAATCACTTTCTTATCCTTAGTTTTAAAACCACACTTTGTGCGTGTTCTAACTGATAAGTAATGTCTACCCAATAGTGTCTACTCGTTTGGGAAAAGTTTCAGAAAAAATCAATATGGGACAGGTAATTATCCTGAAAGCATATCATGATTCACTTCAGTTTGTTAAGCTTGGCAAATTCCAGAAAGCTGTGACTGGGAGTTGGATACGCTATTGGGTGAGCTCTCAGCACTGGAATCGCAACTGAATTCAGCTCTCGGCGGCGATCAGCTAATTCTCG